CAGGCTTCACGAGGAGAAGTACAAATGCTTTTTATGTGTCTATTCAAACAAGTTCTTTTAAAATGAAGCCTGTCTTTCAAGATAAACATGATTGTGGATGTCTTATTGATTTAGAAGGTCTGGATAAACATAAATAAATATACAGGAAAGTCTCACCAGACACAAATATTTCTTCACTTCAGTGGTTGGAAGAAGAGGGGAGTAGGTCTGTTTGTTGGGTGGACTTTTGTTATTGTTGCTGAAAAATGTTTCTAACTATACTCATTTCCATTTTCTGTTTTATTATAGTATCTATAAAACACAGCTGAACATTTCTTGAACAATAGAATTTTTTTGAGTTAAGAGTAATTTTCTGAGTACTAATTATAAGTGCTTTGTGCAGTAATTAAATATTGTTAAGCAGCATTTTTGCATGGCAAAATGCTATATAGCTCAGCAGATGCAAAATAATATTAATATATAGCTTCTCTCTTCAAAGAGTATGTAACCTTTTATAAATATATCAAGAGATTGCTATAATTTATGATAATATATCCTTTTGTAACATTTAAACAAAATTATAAATATTTAGACAATATGGAATATTTAACTGAATGAATAGCAACAATGAGACTATCCTATGAATTAATCATATCTAGAGTAAAATAATTTCTTATCATTTACCTCTTTTATCTATATAAGCATAATGGAAAATGCCAGTTATTTTAAATACTTAGTTCTCAGAATATTGAGCTGTCCATTGCAATACTATAGATAACATCAATATTGTGCCTAGCTTGCAAAAAATAATTTTCATGTTGTGGTTAACTGCCATTGAGTCCCCTACAGCTCCCGATGACCGTGTGTCCAACCGAGTGAAATGTCGCCCTGTCTTGTGCTGTTTCTGTACAGGAAACATTAAATTTGAATGAAGTCGCATGCTTTCTAATTCAAGTCATGTGGCTATTCAACAGCGTTTGTTCAATTTGCAAATAAACTGCCAAATTGGTCATGCAATATCTATTTATTCTGTAGAGGGTCTCATAATTGAAACTAGAGAATCTTCAGGAAGAAGTGAATTTCCTTCGATAACTGAAATACGGTGTGTGGACACAATAGCCCATGCTGGATGTGCTTTTGTCCCTCCTTGATGTTAGCTTCCTATGTGTTGTATATGTTATATGCATGGTACTATCCAATGAGGTGATGAAGTAAAAATTGAAATTATTTTACAATCCTATAAAAATAAATTTATATTTTAATACTAATATTGATAAAATAAATTATGCTGAAATAAACCTTGATATCTCACTCCAAAATATATATAAAGGCCATATTCCCCATATGAGTCTATGTTCATGTATCATTAAGTTGAAAACAAAGCCTTTAATTAATACATCAAAATACAGAAATTCCTTATGTAAAAATCAAAATTGTTCCAAACTATTTAGCATATTCTGACCTTCTATATAAAGATAGATACATTTGAGGACAAAGATAAATTTGAGGAGAAAGTTAAGATACCGAATATATTAGAGCACACTCTTAGTAATCTTTCTCTCTGGAAAGGCATGTTTTGCTATATTCTGGGCAGTGTTCGCTGTAGACTAATATAAGCGATATCTATTGTAACGAGTATTGAGAGGAGGTCTCTAGGAATCCTGAGGCACGTGCCCGTTTAATCTGGGATGGGGGGCATTTCTAGCGTCAAGGGCCATTTGAATATTTATAGCATCGTTTGTGGGCCATGAGAATGATCAACTTAAAAATGAGCCTGCGACATGTGGTCACACATTTAATGAACTCACCCTTAACGTGATGACTGGAACTGCTTCTTTGTGTGTGATGTGATCTGGTATGGACGGTTTTTTGGGCTCTTATGACTGTTGGTGTAGTTGTTACATGTTGGGCTGACTGCATAAGGTCAGCAGTTTGAAACCACCATTTGCTGTGCTGCAGAAAAATGAGGCTTTCTACTCCTGTCAAGAGTTATAGTCTTAGAAATCCAGAGGGGCAGTTCTACCCTGTCCTACAGGGGCACTACGATGGATGGCAGTGAGTTTTGACTTCCTTATATAGCCCACAGCCTGGAAGTTCCCTACCCCTGCTCTAAAGAGCAACTTATGCTAACTACTTAAGAGTCTGTATCTCAGTGCCCTTATTTGTCAGATCTGATTAACCCCATTAGCATATAAAACACTTTCAAATAGAATTCGATTTTTAAAAAATCACCATGTTAAAAGATTCAGAAATTGTGATTTAACAACAGAAACTACTTTGCAAGTTGAGTGGGGGCCTTATTCTCAAATTTACCAAGTCACTAGTAACAACACTCTTTCGTTCTTAATGTAGAAAATATAGTTATTAAATGGCTACCAAGAAATATTTTTGTATTGTGAGAAAAATTCACATTTAATTGTAAGAGCTTAAGTTTGTATATTCATATGCCATGGCTACACACTCAGCTTTATGTAAAAATATTTTACAATGATACAATTATGTTTTCGTCAGAGGAAACCTTAAGCCTTGGAGCTGCACGGGTTCAGAGCTTGCTGCTCACAGAAAGGCTGGCGTTTCTAACCCACTCAGCAGCGGTGTAGAGAAATCCCTGATGATCTGCTTCGGCAAGTCCTACGGGGCAGAAAGCCTGATGGGACAGTTCCCGTCTGTCACACTGTGAGTCAGAAAGGTGTACACACATGCGCTGCTATATTTATCAGATGATGGCCCTGTGCCTGCTCCCTCAGTCCTCACAACATATTTTGCCCTTTTACTGCCTGCCATTTTGATTTTTTAAATATCGGGAATCGATTTTTCCTGCAAGTTCAAAAGAAATAAAAAACTACAGTTGCTTGGAAAATTTCCCTCGGAAATGGAAGCCTAACGTTATGTGACCGATAGGGCATCGTGACTTCTTCATGATGTCATCAGGACATCAGCTCCCTTTAGCTTCTTCCTCTGCCAGCTCTCCGGGATCTAGCTATGATTCTGGTGATCCAGAGCGGTTCAAGTGTGACCATGACAACTACATTCCAGGTGGCAGGTTGGGGGAAGGTCATGAAGAAGAAAGGTGACAAAACCTGGCTGCAGCCACATTTTAAATACAATTTTAGGGCGATATCATACAGTATGCTGAATTTTAGTCCCCTGGCAAATTTATAGACGATGTGGGCAGACAAATGGATTCTCTACTTAGGAAGATCACGTAACCAGCTGAAAGTTGGGCAATCTGTAACTGTTAGGAAGGAGAGAATGGATATGGGGGTTTTACAAGTCGTTGACGTAGTATCTCTCCTTAACATTCTATAGAAACTGACCTCCGCACCAGGCTGCACTTTTACACTCCCCCAATCTTTGAAGCTTCTATTTTGTAACTTCTTTAAATCCATTACTTTACTCGATATGCTTAAAGAGGATGCATCCACATTTATTTTCTTTAATTTACCTACTCTCGCTACATATAAGCTTTCTAATATGAATTGGCTTCAAACGTTTTGTAGAAAAGTCTCTATGTTTTCATTTCCATTTTTACCTAGAGTTGAGTTTATTGGAAATTGGTGCCTTAAATAATAAGGGTTTGTACAGGATGGTTTACAAACAATGAGAATAGATAAAAAAAAAAAAACCCGAGATTTCTGGGAGAGAAGAGAATATGTAGACACTCACAAAATAAAAACATGTCTGCATGGACACCCACATTCTTGCACATGAACAGAATCAACAATCTCTCTTCCCAAAGTAATAGCCTGGGTTCATTTATTCTCACCTCATTTGATCTCCCAGGGGTCCTTGCGGTGCCCTTTTGGGGAAATGTTACTGCTAACCTCACAGGCTGTGGCTCCAACCCACCAGCTGCTCTACTGGAGGAAGATGAGACTATCTGTTAATATGAAGACTTTCAAAGCCTCTGACATCCTATAAGATCACTGTGTCTATAAAATGACTTGATGGCAATGGGTTTGATTGGTTATCATACCCAGGGCACTAAGAACAGATGTCATAAGGAGCCACTTGACATCAATATATGTATAGTCATTGCATTTTGTGACATCCTGCTGTTAATATTTGTTATAAATATTTCAATCTGAAATGCAACTGAAGAATTAAAGACATAAATGTTACATATGTAGATAATATATCTTACTAGAACATCTTATTTTACCATAGAAATATTTTTTAAAAATAAATTTGTATTTATTTTTTGTATCTTGATATATTTATATCCGTATAAGTTTTCTATAAGAGACCAGAATAGTAATTGCCAATACTAAATACAATCATGTGTAAATGAAATTAACTTTATTTGTTACATGTGCATTCAGCAAAAATAGTTATTTGAAGTTAATTTCCTTGCTGTATATGTCTGTGGAATCTGTGCCTTCTATATATTTTTTTTTGCTTATTTAACAAAGGGATATGAAAATGAATAAATGTATCCACATGTGGGTCCATGGCTTTTGATGGCATTCAAATGATTTGATTCAGGAAAATTGGGGTGGCGTGGGGTGGAATGGCGTGCTGAGAGAAAGGTGGTCATTGTGCATGCTACAACAAGGTCTATAACTGCATGTGTCCCTTCTTGTCTTGGCAGTGTGCGCAGGGACAGAGAATAAACTGAGCTCTCTTTCGGACCTGGAGCAGCAGTACCGAGCTTTGCGCAAATACTACGAGAACTGTGAGGTAGTCATGGGAAACCTGGAGATAACCAGCATCGAGCACAACCGGGACCTCACCTTCCTGCGGGTAAAGCCCTCTTCTTCTTTCTGAATGGAAAGTGGTGTCACAAGGCCTACGGACAGACCTGTTTGTTTGTGGCTGGGCTCTTCTTACTGGCAGGGACTGGGAGGACAGGTAGAAGATTAGAGATACTGAAGCAGACCAGGAGAAAAATAAGAATAGCAATGTCTTCATGATTGACATTATGAGTTCTGACAAGTTCCTCTTGTCCTGGTGTTGAGAGAAGATACTACCAGGGTGCAGTACATGACGTGTAGCAAGCGTGCCTTTTTTTGAATCTCTAGCAAGAGGAAAGCTGCTAGATTGGAGAATGGGATGGTGAGAAGGCCAATCAGATAAATAATGGTAACCTTAGAGGGCAATCTCTTTTTTTTTTTTTTTGAGGGCAATCTCTTTTGCCCTGACTCTGCTACGCTCGACTTTTTAGACTATTTATGTTACCATAAAGAGAAGAAAACTGCTATCTCTATAAGTAAACAGATAGATATACTTATACACCTTGAAAATTTACAAATTATTGAAAGTAGAGTAATGGGAAGCCACAGTACTTATATTGGTTGATATAAAGTTATGCACATAAATACATATATGTATACATGAATTTGTCCAGACATACTGAGTTTTTTGCATACTTACTTCTGGTTTCCACACACCTTTACTCTATTAAAGAGGCTAGTAATGCTAATTGCTCTACTTTTAAAAGAAAACAAATTAAAGTTTGCTCTTTTGCGTTAGTCATAACAGACATAAGAAAACCTGTACTTCAAATGGACTTGGCAAAAAAAAAGATGAGAATGTGGTATTCACCCAACTGAATAACTGTTTTCTTTGTACAAAAAATGATTATATTGAATAATAGCCTCTTTAGGTTATATTTGATCCTGTTTTCAATGATATTTATACTTATCTTAGGAGGAGTACCTTATTTGAGTCAAGACCCACATGTACAGAATACTGATAGTCAACTATTTAATGGGTGGTGAATTATGTAGACAACTCCAATAATTTTATGCCTGGTTATGTAGTTTAAAAAATTGTCTTTAATATTATGAGTGTAATGAACATTTCTAATGTAGGTAACAACCTTTAAACATAATCAACCTCTAAATTTAAATGACAGTCTGAGGATTATGACATCCTTTCATGAAATGGTTCTTCCCTCTTGATTGGTATAGGCTTAGCTGAAAGAGCTGTGTTTCTATAGGTTATATGTGGAAACTATAAGATAATTGTATTATTTAATCATGATATCTTTGTTGAAGAAAAATAGATGGGGAAGATGATCTGCATTTTAAAATGAGAACACCTGAAATGAACTTAACCTTCCAGAGAAAGTAATTTTAAAGGCGTACATCATCATATTCTGTGCTGTTAATGTTAGGAGTCTGAGAGTCAGCTCCAGCACATGACAGCCCAAGTGCAAGGGGACTGAACACTGCCTAGTACAGAGCTGTCCGCACAACTGGTGTCCTGTTTGAGCCCATTCTTGCAGCTGCCTGTCTGTCCATCTCCTTAAGGGTCTTTCTCATTTTCTTTGACCCTCTGTTCAATGTCAAAACTTTTCAAACCTCGATCTGTCTTTATTGATTATTATCCTGTGGAGTTTATTCTTAAACACAAACACTAAAATAACATTTTGATAGAGCATGTGCATTTTTCTGTTTCATTTAAAAATGCCTAGAAATTTTGGGAATGTATACAAAGGAGGAAAATTCTAAAATTATGTAGAGTTTGATAAATCCACAAAACTCAGTGATTTATAAAGACTGGAGGAAGGGCAAACTATTAGGGGATTTGATTAGTATTTAAACTTGTTAAATACTACGTTGACGGTCTGGAATATGAACTGCTACCTAATTTACAATAAAAATTGTTAATTAAGAAAAACGTATTTTTAAAATGCCTAGAAAATACAATGCTGTTAAATAAAAGGAAAAGAAACGGAGAGGACTGAATTCTGAACTGGGGGGAAATACGTTAAATGGTCTTTGAGATCATAATAACGTGAACAAACATTTTAAATAAAAGCTACAGGAGTAGAGTTTTATTTTTTCCCTTATATGCTTTGCTTTGCTGTGTTTTCTTTTCTCTATATCAATCTAGATTTTTTGGACTTCTTAAATGTAATCATAAATATTGTGATAGTCCACATGTCTGGTTTGTTAAATATTTTATACCTTTTAATGACTCAAGGTGAATAGACTGGAAGATTGAGGAAAGATTTCCCCAAAGAGATGTTTACATTAATCTTGGGAAGATAAGTGGAAGCATGCTAGATAGATGGAGGGAAGAGAACTACATCCCAACAGGAGTAAGACCATACTCTATTAGCCACTGGCCATACTTAAGAGGGGGTGCCAAAAAAAAGCTCAGAAGATATTTTCAAAGTTATGTATTTAAATTTTCTTTTTTACAAAACAACCTTGTCACATTCAAAGTACTCTCCATTATACTGAATACATTTATCCAATCTGTAATTCCATTCTTGGAAATTTTTGAAACTCATGTTTGGATGGCTGACAGCACCTCCCTTGTTTTTTTCTTCACCTCTTTTATGTCATCAATTCACTGTCCTTTCATGTCCCTCTGCCTTCGCAGAAACAATAAGAGGTCACACGAACCAGCTCAGGTGAGTCAGATGTGTGGGTTAAGAGAAGCGTGCTGTTTTTTTGCCAAAAACTGGTGCACTGAGATGGCTGCATGAGCAGGTGCGTTGTCATGGTGACAAAACCAGTTCTCTCTCTGCCCCAAATCAGGCCTTTGTTGCCACAAACTGTTACGCAAGCTTTTCAGAACATCTCAAGAGGAAGCTTGTTTAACATTCTGACCTGGTAGAAGGAACTCAAAATCCACTATCCCCCTCACATTAAAAAAATAAATAAATAAATAAATAATAAATGAGCATGGCTTGATCTTTGATTTCACTCTCTGAGCTTATTTTGAGTGAGGTGATGATGGTGTCTTCCACTGGCTTGATCGATGTTTGCTTTCGTGGTCATCAGAATAGCACCACGTCTCCTCACCAGTAATGACCTTGGAAAAATGGCTGGGTCCTCTCTGAGCAGTTCTTTCAGAGCAGGGCATGTTTCCGCACCACACTCTTTTCTGGCCAGTCAGTACCTGAGGCACAAATTTCGCAGCAGCCTTTCTAATTCCCAAATATTCTGTTAAAATTTGTTGCCAAGAGCTCCTAGTTAGTCCAGATAGCTTCCCCATCTCCAATGGTCTGTTGTCATAGGTCTTCAAGCCCAAGGGCATGAATTTTGTCAACATTTTCATCTGTTCAGGAAGCTGAAGGATTCCAGAATGAGGTTTGTCATCAATGGACAGTTCACCGTATTTGAAATGAGACGACCACTCTTACACTTGAGTTTCCCCTGTAGTGCTGTCCTTGTAAGCTGTGTTCAACATCACAATGGTTTCTGTGGCATTTTTCATGAGCAGGAAACAAAATTTCACAGCCGTACTCTGTACTCTTAAATTAGCCCTGACCAAAAATGATGTTTGAGCGAAACTGCTTTCATGACAAAATTCACTGTGACTCGAGAGAACCTTCCCAGGCAACTAACCCCATTGGGTTCACAAAGCCAGACCTAGTGGCTTGATGCTCACTTAGGGGGAAAGCTGCATACTATGAAAACTCTGCCCAGCGGGGGTTCTTTCCGGTTTTTGTTTTTTGGTGCCCTCTTATACATTTAAACAGACTACAGTTAGTGTTTCCTGTGGATAAATCACAAATTTAGAAATATCAAATTTTAGTGGTCGGGAGCCTCAGAGCATAGACAGAGATTTTAGACGATATGAGAAAGTGACAAGTTAAAAGTCAAGGGAAGTTTTGAATAGTAAAACAATGAACTCGGCCAAGCACAGAACTCCCTGACTATCTCATTCTGTTACTTGGAGAAATCCAGATTAGACCATACTACTTTTCTTACTCAACCCTAAAAGCATGAACTATCTTCTGGACTATTCCATTAAATGGCTCATTAGTTCACATGTACCTTAAGATATTCTATAAACTCTTATTTAATATAAAATTGCATTCCTTTTGATTGTCACCTTATGGATCATTTTGTTCTTAACACCTTTTCCCCCAAATACGTAATATTTTCAATATAAGTATGTGTAAGCACCCATATTTAGCAGAGCTAGCTATTTTACATTATGTTGTTATTTTCTATGTTTTAAATTTATGAGTGAATGATGAAATTTCACTGGCATTTTCTTTAGTTACCAAAGTAGTATCTTTTTATTTCAAAATATTATGAATTTTAATACATAAAAACACAACCACTTACCTAAATTACATTTTGCTCATTCATGATTTTCTCGGCATTTCAAACAGTGTCAAAGCTATAGTAGGCATTCATGAAGTTGTTAAATGAGTTGATGAAATAATAAGTGTTCCTTCTTAAATTGTGGTTATCTATTCTTCTTATAGATGATATGCTTAAAACTCAACATGTGAGTTCTTTCAGCTAGAGCCCTACCTGTTCAGTATGATACCACCACAGTCATAAGACCCAACCTGGGTATAATCAGAAACCTTTCTCGTGAGAATTGGAAATTGTAGCCAAGAACATTCAGTTTCTTTTTATTTATTTATTTATTTGTTTTAACATTTTATTAGGGGCTCATACAACTGTTATCCCAATCCATACACACATCAATTGTGTAAAGTGCATTTGTACATCGTTTCTCAAAACATTTTCTCTCCACTTAAACCCCCGACATTAGGTACTCATTTTCCCCTCCCTCCCCGCTCCCCCCTCCCGCATGAGCCCTTGATAGTTTATAAATGGGTATTTTGTCATATCTTGCCCTGTCCGACGTCTCCCTTCATCCACTTTTTGGTTGTCTGTCCCCCAGGGAGGAGGTCACACACAGCTCCATGTAATCGGTTCCCTCTTCCCCACCCATTCTCCCTCTACCCTCCCTGTTTTGCCACTCACACCACTGGTCCTATAGGGCTCATCCGTCCTGGATTCCCTGTATTTTCTGTTCCT